GGCCTGCAAGGCCTTAGACATTGGAGTAACAGATTTCTCTGGGAGGGTCTGGAGACAGGGTCATCTGAAGGTTCTAGAGAGGAGGATGACCAGGTATTGGCTGGAAATGTGAGAAGGGACCTGGCTGAGGAGTGAGGCCTGGGGCTGGATGAGGCATGGTGGTGGCGGGGAATGGGCCGTTCACATACCCAATGCCAGGGAGACGTGGTCACACATCCCCAGAAGTTGTCCAAAACAGACTGGCCCATCCGGAGGAATGCCCAGCTCCCACATGCTACAGAAAAGGTCACATCACCAATTCAGACAGTGGCTGAATCTGAGCTGAAAGTCAGCCATTAGGTACCCACAGGGCTATTCCAGTTATTTAAATATTAAAATACTTCTAAACTTAATGATAAATAACTAGTGTTCCGAAGTCCCTGAAAGTTTCTTAGTGAGTTTTCTGACACCCCCAGACCTCCCCATACTCCAGCAAATAAGAGATGATGCCTTGTTCAGCTGGGGCCTATAAGACCTACAGGCATAGCAGGGGTTAAATGTTTTTAATACCCTCCCCAGAATTCCGCTGAACCTACTGTCCCTACACTGCTCCTCCCATTGGCTCTCCTTCCTCACCTATAGCACAGGGGCCTCTACCTATCCCTGGCATTTGAGTGAGGGAGAGGAAGGGAGGGGCCCACCTCATACCTTTTGGTTGCCTGGTGAACAGATTCCTCATTGTGGGAAGCCACCATGAGGTGGCACATGGGGCCACGGTGGGATACATGAGTCAGCATCAGCTCCAGACAGCGTCTGTAACTGAAGAGAGTTGTTTCAGCTATGGTACCTGGTGAGTAAGGGTCAGGCCTCAGGGACTGGGCATTTCTGTTCTTGGGGTGCCTAAGAGCAAGGACTCTGGAGTCACAAAATACGCCACTTCCACCTGGACTGGCTGCAAGGAACATTCCTTCCCAGAGCATTTTCCTCTCTTGTAACAATGTGAGTTCACCTAACAGTGATGCTGTGAGGATGGAGTGAGAGGACAGTGTACAAAAAGTCTTTGTCATAATGGCAGTCTCGCAACAAAGGGCCACATCACATGCAGAAGATGATGTTTCCTTAAGGTCATTCACTGCAGCATTGTCTGTAGAACGAGACTAGCACCAACCCAAATGTCTATAAGTAGGGGACTGGCTGGATGAATGATGGCACAGAGGATTGCCATGCAGCTGTAGAAAGGACAGGGGCATCTGGGTACAGAAGGGTAAAAGGACTGGAAAATGCTTTCTGAGCTGCTGTAGGCCAGATGCCACCTTGTGGCCTTCGTGGGCCGTTTTCCATTGCCTTCTAAATCTGTTCGTTTTCTCTGCCCCTTTGGAGGCTGACTTTTGTGTCCTGCATCACCCATGGAGTCATGGGCAGAAGATCAGAGGTGAGACGAAAGAGAACTCAGGTGTTTTGTCCCTTAGCCCCCTCCTTGCTCTACCCTAACTGTCCTATGTTCGCCACATCTCCTCCAGTATGGCTGTCCTTCCCCACCTATAGCACAGGGGCCATAATGGCTTCCCGCTTTTGTGGGTTCCTAGGTGCTTCAACATTCCCTGTGGGTTCTTCCAACCTTGCCCGCACTCCAATAGTTTAGTTTCTTCACTAAGTCTCCTTGCCTGACACATATTCATTCATCTCACTTTCAAATCAACTCTGTGAGGCAGATGTTCTGATTACCCCCATTTTACAGAGAGAGAGAGAGATGGAATGGGAAAGAGATTAAGTCTCTTGTCCCTAGGTCACACAGTTAGAAATGGCCAGGTAGGTGTCGTAGGACCCAGTGGTTCAGCCTCCCCAATCAGTTTGGAACCCAGGCTGTCTGATGCTATAAGTCTTGGGCTCATTATTACTGGACTATTTTGCCTTTTAAGAAAAATTAAAATTTTATTGTTGCAAGTATTATATATGTTCCCTTTATTCTCCCATTGACCCTTCTAGCCCGCCCTATCCCCACCCCAGGTCTTCACCACCTTATTGTCTGTGCCTAGGGGTTATGCATAAAAGATTTTTGGTTTATCTCTTCCCACCCACCCACCCTCCCCGCCTTCCCTCTGAGATTCCGCAGTTTATTCCATACTTCTAAGTCTCTGGATCTATTTTGTTCATCAGTTTATTTTGCTTATTAGATTCCACATATGAATGAGCTCATGTGATACTTATCTTTCTCTGTCTTATTTCACTTAGTATAATACTCTCCAGGTCCCTCCATCCTGTCTCAAATGGTAAGAGAGCCTTCTTTTTTTATACCTGCATAATATTCCATGGTGTAAATATACTACAGTTTTTTTTATCTAAAAATCTTCTGATGGGCACTTAGCTATTGTAAATTGGTGTTATAAACATAGGGGTGCATACATTCTTTCTGACTGGTGTTTTGGGTATCTTGGGATATATTCCTAGAAGTGTGATCACTGGGTCAAATGGCAGTTCCATATTTAATTTTTAAAAAATATTTTTATTTATTTCAGAGAGGAAGGGAGAGGAAGAGAGAGTGATAAAAACATAAATGATGAGAAAGAATCATTGATTGACTGTCTCCTGTACTCCCCCTACTGGGATGAGCCCATAACCCAGGCATATGCCCTTGACTGGAATAGAACACAGGACCCTTTGGTCCACAGGCTGATGCTCTATCCACTGAGCCAAACTGGCTAGGACCCATATTTAATTTTAAAAAATATTTTTAATTGATTTCAGAAAGGAAGGGAGAGGGAGATAGAAACATCAGTGATGAGAGAGAATAATTAATCAGTTGCCTCCTGCACATCCCACACTGGGAATCAAGGCCACAATCTGGGCATGTGCCCTGATCAGGAATCAAACCATGACTTCTTGGTTCATAGGTCGACATTCAACCACTGAACATATTTAATTATTTGAGGAAATTCCATATTGTTTTTCATAATGGCTGCATCAGTCTACATTCCCTATTCTCCACATCCTTGCTAGCACTTGTCATTTGTTGATAGTAGCCATTCTGACAGGTGTGAGGTAATATCTTATTGTCATTTTAAATAAATATTTTTTTATTGACTTGAGCATTTTTTTTATATGTCTCTTGGCCATCTGTGTGTCTGCTTTGGAGAAGTGTCTATTTAGGTCCTTTGCCTATTTTTATTTTATTTTATTTTATTGATTCTTTATAGAGAGGAAGGGAGAGGGATAGAGAGTTAGAAACATTGATGAGAGAGAAACATCAATCTGCTGCCTTTTGCACACCCCCTACTGGGAATGTGTCCACAACCAAGGTACATGCCCTTGACCAGAATCGAACCTGGGACCTTTCAGTCCACAGGCCAATGCTCTACCCACTGAGCCAAACCGGTTTTGGCTGCCTGTGTGTGTGTGTGTGTGTGTGTGTGTGTGTGTATATATATATATATATATATATATATATATATATATATATATATATATATATATTTTTTTTTTTTTTTTTTTTTTTTTACTAGTTTGTGCACTTAGGGGCAGAGGGAGTGTCCCTCAGCCTGGCCTGTGCCCTCTCGCAGTTGAGGAGCTTCAGAGGATGTCCGACAGTCAGATATTCTTAGCACTGCCTGTGGAGGTGAGGGAGGATCTTGCCACCGTTGCTATGCTCACTAGTGGTGAGCTCTGGCTGAGTGGAGCTCCCCGCTGTGGGAGTGTACTGATCACCAGGAGAAGCTCCTGCATCAAGTATCTGCCCCCTGGTGGTCATTGTGTGTCTTAGTGACTGGTTGTTCTACTTTTTGGTCAATTTGCATACTAGCCTTTTATTATATAGGATTGATTTCAGAGAGGAAGGGAGAAAGAGAGATAGAAACATCACCACCCTATTGTCTGTGTCCATAGGTAATGCATACATGCATATAAGATATTGTCTAATCTCTTCCTGCACCCAACACCATCTTCTCTCTGAGAATCATCGGTCTGTTTCATTTCCATGTCCATGATTCTATTTCATTCACGAGTTTATTCTGTTCATCAGATTTTTTTTTATTAATTTGATTTGTAGATTCAATTGTTGTAGATACGTATTTGTTGCCACTTGGTTGTTCATATTTTATCTTTGCCTTTTTCTTCTCCTTCCTCTTCTTAAAGAATACCCTTCAGCATTTCATATAGTACTGGTTTGGTGCTGATAAACTCCTTTAGCTTTTTCTTGTCTGTGAAGCTCTTTATCTGACCTTCAATTCTAAGTGATAGCTTTACTGGGTAATCTTGGTTGTAGGTTCTTGCTATTCATCACTTTGAATATTTCTTGCTGCTCCCTCTAGCACGCATAATTTATGTTGGAAAATTAGCTAAAAGTCATATGGTAACTCCCTTAAAAGTAACTAACTGCTTTTCTCTTGCTGCTTTTAAGATTCCCTTTTTGTCTTTTGCCCTTGGCATTTTAATATGATATGTCTTGGTGTGGTCTTCTTTGGGTTCCTCTTGTTTGGGGTTCTCTGCACTTCCTGGATTTGTAAGTCTATTTCTTTCACCAGGTGGGGGACGTTTTCTGACATTATTTCTTTAAATAGGTTTTAATATCTTGCTCTCTTCTTCTGGCACTCCCATAGTTCAGATTTTGGTAGGCTTGAAGTTGTCCCAGAGTCCCCTTACACCATCTTCATATTTTTGGATTATTTTTGCTTTCTAGTTGGGTGTTTTCTGCTTCCTTATATTTCAAATCATTATTTTGGTTCTTGAGATCCTCTAGTCCAGGGGTCCTCAAACTTTTTAAAGTGGGGGCCAGATCACGGTCCCTCAGAGAGCTGGAGGGCCGGACTATATGAACTACTAATTCCTACTGTAACACCTCGGCTGCGCTCACTGCCCAAAAAACCTGGCGGGCCAAGCAGACTCCTCTGCGGGCCGCATGTGGCCCGCGGGCCGTAGTTTGAAGACGCCTACCTAGTCTATTATTGAATCCCTGTATATTATTTATTTCAGTCAGTGTATGCTTAATTTCTAACTGGTCCTTTTCTATTTTTTTTACATTTTCACTAATATTCTTGAAAGTTTCACTAAGTCTCTTGGAGGTTTCCAGAAGATGCTTGAGTAATCTTATAACTGTGGTTTTAAACTCTATATCCAGTTAGTTTGCTTTCTTCCATTCCTTTCGTTTGTGACATGTTTCTTTGTCTCTGCATTTTGGCTGCTTCCCTGTGTTTGTTTCTATGTATTGGGTAGCTACTAAGTCTCCTTGAGTTGATAGAGTGGCCTTGTGTAGAAGGTGTCCTACAGGACCCAGTGGCTCAACCTCACCAATCACCTGAGGTGCATCCTTCTGTGCGCTGTGTACACAATCTTGTAGTTGAGCCTTGATTGCTGTTGAAGTCCCTAGGAGGAACTGACCTCCAGGCCAATTGGCTGTGAGGACCCACTGTGTCTAAAATGGAAGAGCTGCTGTGCAGGAGACACCCTTATGGAACAGGACTTGCTTCAGTGGGGCTTTGGTGCTCACTGAGTCTGCCCCTTGTGTATGATTTATTTATTTATTTATTTATTTATTTATTTATTTTTAAATAAATTTTTATTGTTCATATTATTACAAATGTTCCTCATCCCCCCCTCCATTGCTCCCCTCCACCAGGTTCCCACCCCACCCTTTGCCTTTTCCCCACCCCCCATTGTCCTCATCCATAGGTGCACAGTTTATGTTCAGTCTCTTCCCACACCCCCCTCTCCCCTTTTCCCTGAGAATCGTCAGTCCACTCCCCTTCCATACCTCTGATTCTATTATATTCACCAGTTAATATTGTTCATCAGATTTTTTTTTTAATTCCCTTGGTTTTTAGATACACTTGTTGATAGTTAGGTATTTGTTGTTCATAGTTTTTATCTTTATTTTCTTTTTCTTCCGAAAGAGCCCCCTTCAGCAATTCATATAATTCTGGTTTGGCGGTGATGAACTCCTTTAGCTTTTTTTTTTTTTTTTTATTAGTGAAGCTCTTTATCTGACCTTCGATTCTGCATGGTTTCTGTTGAGAAATCAGCTGACAAACATATGGGTGCTCCTTTATAGGTAACTACATGCTTTGCTCTTGCTGCTTTTAATATTCTCTCTTTGTCTTTTGCTCTTGGAATTTTAATTATGATGTGTCTTGGTGTGGTCCTCTTTGGATTCCTTTTGTTTGGAGTTCTGTGCGCTTCCTGGACTTGTGGGTCTATTTCTTTCACCAGGTGGGGGAAGTTTTCTGTCACTATTTCTTTCAGTATGTTTTTGATATCTTGCTCTGTCTCATCTTCTGGGATTCTCTTGTCTTCTTGCTTCTGCAGAGGAGTGTCTTCTGGCTCTTTATGTTCCAAATCTTTGACTTGATTCTTGTGATTTTCCATTTTGTTTTTAGGAGTCTGTATAATATTTTTTATTTCAGACAATGTATTCTTTATTTCTTGTTGATCCCTTATTATTTCTTATTGATCCCTTATTAGTTCTTATTGATCCCTTTTCATCTCCTCATAGGTCTTATTGACCTTTTCTAGGAAATTCCTGAAAAACCTTATAAGCGTAGATTTGAACTCTATATCCAGTCTATTCTTTTCCTCCATTTCTTTTGTTTGTGATCTATTTCCTTGTCTTGGCATTTTCTTTTTTCTTTTTTTTTTAATAAATTTTTATTGTTCATATTATTACAAATGTTCCTTTTCCCCCCTCTCCATTGCTCTCCTCCACCAGGTTCCCACCCACCCTCTGCCCTTTTCCCACCCCCCATTGTCCTCATCCATAGGTGCACAGTTTATGTTCAGTCTCTTCCCACATCCCCCTCTCCCCTTTTCCCCAAGAATCGTCAGTTCACTCCCCTTCAGATTTTTTTTTAATTTCCTTGGTTTTTAGATTCACTTGTTGTAGTTACGTATTTGTTGTTCATAATTTTTATCTTTATTTACTTTCTCTTCCAAAAGAACCCCCTTCAGCAATTCATATAATTCTGGTTTGGTGGTGATGAACTCCTTTAGCTTTTTTATTATTAGTGAAGCTCTTTATCTGGCCTTCGATTCTGAGTGATAGCTTTGCTGGGTAGATTATTTTTGGCTGTAGGTTCTTGCTATTCATCACCTTGAGTATTTCTTGCCATTCCCTTCTGGCCTGCATGGTTTCTGTTGAGAAGTCAGCTGACAATCGTATAGGTGCTCCTTTATAGGTTACTACCTTCTTTGCTCTTGCTTCTTTTAATATTCTCTCTTTGTCTTTTGCTCTTGGAATTTTAATAATGATGTGTCTCGGTGTGGTCCTCTTTGGATTCCTTTTGTTTGGAGTTCTGTGCGCTTCCTGGACTTGTAAGTCCAATTCTTTCACCAGGTGGGGGAAGTTTTCTGTCACTATTTCTTTCAGTATGTTTTTGATATCTTGCTTTGTCTCATCTTCTGACACCCCCATAATTCTGATGTTGGTTCGCTTGAAGTTGTCCCAGAGGTTTCTTACATTATCTTCAATTTTCTAGATTCTCTTGCCTTCTTGCTTTTTCAGAGAAGTGTCTTCTGGCTCTTTATGTTCCAAATCTTTGACTTGATTCTTGCGATCTTCCATTTTGTTTTTAGGACTCTGCATAATCTTTTTTATTTCAGACAATGTATTCTTTATTTCTTGTTGATCCCTTATTATTTCTTGTTGATTCCTTATTAATTCTAGTTTATCCCTTTTCATATCCTCATAGTTCTTATCGACTTTTTCTAGGAAATTCTTGAAAAACCTTATAAGCATAGATTTAAACTCTATATCCAGTGGCTTTTTGTCCTCCATTTCTTTCGTTTGTGATCTATTTCATTGCATATTCGCAGCTTCTCTGATGGGGCGGGGTTTCAGGGTGGAGCCTGCAGCCTTGGCTTCCCTCAGCCCTACCCTATACAGTTCCTAAGTATCAGTAATCCCCAGGGTTCTTCAGTACTCGCTGCAAGCACCTCTGAGAGAAAGGTGCCCTCGATTTTCGTCTGCTACCAAACAGTCTAGGCTCTCCCCCAATAAGCCCAGAACTGGGGTTCAGTTCACTTGGAAGTGGAATTGGAGGTAGCGTTCAGAGCATTCGGGAGCTTTTGTCTCCTTCCTGCCAGGGCAATCACACGGTTCCGTCCCTTCTCTGCGCGCAATGTGCGCGCCTCCGGGACCTCCTTTCGCTGCTCCCCCGGGATTCTGCCTTATGGCCCAGCTCCCTATGGATGAGCCTGGGTCCCCGGGGTCTGGCCTAGAACTGGGGTTCAAAGCAGTTGGAATTGGGGCCCAGCACAGTCAGAGCTTTTATCTCCTTCCCGCTAGGGAACACCAACCAGGCACTCAGCCGCCCTTGCTCTCGGCTTCGTCCTCTCCGCGCACGCCACGTGTCTCCGTACCTTTTTCTTTTACAGCTCCTCCACTCTTCCTTCTGGTTTTTCTCCTTGCTTCTTGTTGTAGAATTTCCAGTCAGTCGACTTTCCTGTAGTTCTGGGTAATGTCCATTTTATATTTTAGTTGTATTTTATTGAAATTGTTGTGTGCAGCTGCGGCTAGGTGTTTACTTGTGCAGCCATCTTGGATTCCTGCCAGTTGTTTTTCTTGTCTTGGCATTTTCACAACTTCCCTGAGTTGGTTGGGTGGCTTTGTGTGCTAAGGTGTCCTATATGGTTCAGTGAGTCAGCCTCCCAGTTACCTGAGGTGGACAGTCTTGGTGTAGCCCTTTGTGGGATGTGTGTGCAGTCTTGTTGTTAAGCCTTGCTTGTTGTTGGTATCACTGGGAAGCGTTGATCTCCAAGCCAATTGGCTATGCCCCTTGTGTATGTTGTGTATGGATGTGAAGAGTTGTCATCTGGTATGGTCTCACACTGACCACTGGGTATACTGGCTCTTGGGTCTCCAGGGACGTGCAAAGACAGCCACTGCCCGGGGCCATCCAGCAGGAGCTACAGAGAGATTTGCAGATTCCTCCTTTTTGTATCAGATTTGGAAGTGTCTAGATGAGGCCTACCTGTGAAGCAAGGCAGGCTGGTGCTGGTGTCAAGTCTTGGGACTTTTATTGATAGGTTCGGGGCTCCCTAATCCTGCTGCAGCTTGTTTGAGAGGGTTTTAGCCTGTGAAAGGACAGGCCATTCATATGCAAAAGCCGCTGCAGACAACTTGTTTGGGTGGGATTGTAAATTGGGTCAGGCAAGGTTTCAGGGAATCACCAGGGCAGAGCAAATAGAAATGGCCACCAGTCAGTCCTGCACTGGGGAGGTCCCAGAACAAAACAATGACAGCTGCAAGCACCTCTGTCTGAAAGAAAGCCATCCCTGAGTTCCTGCCCTGATGCCAGACAGTTCAGTTTCTCCTCGTATGTGTCAGGGTCCCCTGGAGCCTTGTTGGTTTTGTTTGTTTGTTTGTTTGTTTTCTTTTTTTCTTTCTTGATCTCTTTGGTAACCCATTCATGTTTAATAACATGATATTTAGCATCCAAGTGTCTGAATGTTTTTGAGTGTTTTTACAGTAGTTTATTTCAAATTTTATTTCATTGTGGTCTGAGAAGGTGCTTGATATGATTTAAATATTCTTGAACTTGTAGACATTAGTTTTGTGTCTTAACATGAGGCCTACCTTTGAGAATGACCCATGTGCATTTGAGAAGACTGTATATTCTACAGCTTTGGGGTGAAATGTTCTATAAAGTCGATTAAATCCATCTGATCCAGTGTGTCATTTTGAGTCACTATTTCTTTGTTAATTGTTTTCTGGAAGATCTATCCAATGAAGTCAGAGGGCTGTTTAACTTTCCTACTATGTCTGTATTGCTGTTGACCTCTCCCTTAAAAGTTCTCTAGAAGTTTTATAAATATTTGGCTGCTCCTATATTGGGTGCATATATGTTTATAAGGTTATATTCTCTCATTGGATCAATCCCTTTAGTATATGTAGTTACCTTTGTTGTCTCTTGTGATGGCCTTCATTTTGAAGTTTATTTTGTTAGATATGAGTATTGCTATCCCAGCTTTTTATTTTTTCATTTCCATTTGTATGGAAAAAAAATTTCCATCTCTTCACTCTCATCTTGTGTGAGTCTTTTGTTCTGAGGTGGGTCTCTTGTAGACAGCATATAATTGAGTCATGTTTTTGTATTCCATAGCTTCCCTATGTCTTTTGATTGGAGCATTTAATCCATTTACATTTAAGGTTATTTTTGGTAAGTATTTATTTATTGCCATTTTCATTCTCTCTCCCTCTCCCTCTCTCTCTCTCTCTCTCTCTCTCTCTCTCTCTCTCTCTCTCTCTCTCTCTCCCTCCCTCCCTCCCTCCCTCCCTCCCTCTCTCTCATTCTTCTCATTACAGCAGTCCCTTTAGAATTTCTTGCAGTGCTGGTTTGGTGGTGATAAACTCCATTAACTTTTTTTTTTTTTTTCCCCTTTCTGGGAAGCTTTATTTTGAATAATAGCCTTGGTGGACATAATAATCTTGGTTCAAATTCTTGATTTTCATTATCTTGAGTACTTCATGCCATTTCCTTCTGACCTGTAGAATTTCTGATGAGAGCTTTTTTGTAGGTAACAGTTTGCTTTTCTTTTGCTGCCTTTAAGAATTTCTGTTTGTCTTTTATTTTTGTCTTTAATTAATTCTAATTATGAAGTATCTGAGTGTGGGCCAGTTTGGGTTCTTCTTACTTGGGACTCCCTGTGCTTCTTGAACTTGTGTGACTTTTTCTTTCAGCAGATTAGGGAAGTTTTCTGCCATTATTTCTTCAAACATATTTTCTATCCTTTTCTCACTTTCTTTGCATTCTGGCATTCCAAAATGTGAATATTGTTACATTTTATGTTGTCCTATATCTCCATTAGATTGTCCTTCTGTTTTTTAATTGGTTTTTCTTTTTGGTTCTCTGAGTGATTTTTTTTCTACCCTGTCTTCTAATTCACTGATTTGATCCTCAGCTTCCTCAATCTGCTGTGTATTTTTTCCTACATGCTCTTTAGTAGTGCTATGTCATTCTTTATTTTCAACTGGTCTTTTTTCATAGTTACTGTATCTTTTCTCATGCTACTGAGCATCTTTGCCATCATTATTCTGAACTCTATATCAGATAAATTTCTTATCACCATTTCATTTATATCTTCTTCTGGAGAATCTTATTCTTTCATTTGGGGCTTGTTTTTGTCTCTCCATTTTGGCTGCTCATTTGGGTTTTTGTCTGTGTATTAGGTAGATCTGCTAAGACTCCCAATCTCTAGTGTAAGACAATCTCAAACGCTGTTTGTGACTGACCCTCAGTACTTGTTTGTAGCTGTCAGCAATCCCCAGCTTGTAGCTCCCTCTGCTTTGGCTGGGTGCCTTTAGAAAGGACCAAAATGTGCACAAGGGTCTGTGTTTCCTAACCCCAGACCCAGAAGGAGATCAGGCAAAGACTCAAAGGCTCTAGAAATCCTCCTCTGCCTGCAGTCAGATTGTTATCAGCCTTTATTGGCATCAGGTTATTGGCCTCAGGGTGGAGCAAGAGTTCTTCCAACAGGGTGTGTTGACTGCCTTTCCCTCAAAAATCACCTTCATAGCAAAGGTTCGCTGGAGAAAAATGTCCTCCACAGCACGATATAATGAATGAGTTGGCTGCCCTCCGAACTTCAACTCCAGAGCCCCCAACCCTGAACTTTCCTCACACAGCTCCAGTCCACTCTGCCTCCCTCTGTTGGAGTTCAAGGTGAATGGCTGCAAACGAAAATTTGTCATTGGTCCTTTAAAATGGTGCCTCCATTTCCAGCCATCTCTGTCTGGCAGACAGCAACCCTGCTGTTTTTCATAGACAGGTGTTATGTGGGTACTTTTCTCAGTTCTGGTGCTCTGGGATGGGGAGCCCAGCTTGGTGTTTAGATCCCAGAGTTCTCTGTGGGAATCTCCACAGCTGATATATTCCTCTGGGACTTCAGCTGCTGTCTGTGGGAGCCCAGCCACCTCTTTTGTGCCTCCACACTTCCTACTAGTCTCTATGTGGTCTCTACTTTCTGTCCTTGGTTATTAGGGTTTTCTCCAGCTAGTCTTCAGTTGATTTTTCAGGATGGTTCTTCTGTATTTTCAGTTTGGTCCTGGGGGAGCATCAATATAGCTTCCACTTACTCTTGTTGCCATTTTAAATCTAGACTATTTAAATCTATTTTACCTTTAACATATACAGTTGAGTGGAAAAGCCAGGAGTAATATGTAACATGATGCTTTTTGCAATACAAAAACATTTGTGTTTGCCTCTATATGTATAAAGGAATTTAGGAAACACAGCTAAGAAACTAACTAAAGGGGTTACCTGTGGGGGCCAGGGAGACTCCATGATTAGATGTGGATTTGTGTCAAAATGAGATATGTCAGTGTATTCATTTTCATATCATTTTGATTTTTGAATCATGTGAATTTATTAATTATTCAAAATTTATATTAAAACATGCTAACGAAGATGTGCAGAAATTGAAACAGGTGCTGGTATGAATATAAAATGGTGCATGCTTGTGGAACACCATCTAGCAGTTCCTCAAAAGTTTAAACATGGAGTTACCATGTGATCCTGCAATCCGCTTCCAGATAACTGAACTTTTGGGAGAGTTGAAAATGTGTGTGTACACAAAAATGTGTACATGAATGTTCACAGCAGCACTATTCACAACAGTCAAAAGGTGGAAACAAAATATCCATCAACTGATGAATGGGTAAATGAAATGTAGTCCATTCATACAATGGAATATGATTTAATCATAAAAAGGAATGAAGCACAGATATATATTACAACATGGTTGAGCCCTGAAAACATGCTGAGTGAAATAAGCCAGATACAAAGGTCACATATTGCATGATACTATTTATATAAAATGTTCAGAAAAGGAAAATCCATAGAGACTTTAAAAAGACTAGTGGTTGCCAGGGTTGAGGGGAAGAGGGAATGGGGAGTGTCTGCTAATGAATGGAAATGGCATTTCTTTTTGATGTAATAAAAATGTTCTGTAATTAGATAGTGACAATGGTGGCACAAGCATGTGAATACACTACAGTCTACTGAATTAATTGTATACTTTTGAATGATGAGTTTTTGGTACGTGAATTGTATGTGAATTGTATGGTACGTGCCTAGAATTGTGAATTGTATGGTACGTGCCTAGAAACATTCACTGGCCCTGGGTTCCAAAGATGGATTGTACCCTTGCCCTGAAATCTTACATAATTCCCTGCAGTTGTAGAAACTTCTCCTTGATCCACTGTGAACTGGATTCAGACTTTGAAAGCTCCTTGAGGACAGGACGTAGGGTCACCTTGATTTCTACTGAGACCAGGGCCTGATCTAAATCAGGTGGTCATCAAGTATGTGTTGAAGAAATAAAGTCCTCCTTCCCAGCCATGGGGATGGGGGAGGTCCAATGAGCTCACCCACATCTTGCCCCATCACATATACAAGTTAATATGTGATGGGTAAGAACATGGGTTCTACAGCCAGTCTGCCTGGGCTCAAGTTTTGGGCCTACCACTTCTCAGTGCCTCAGTTTCATCCTCTGTGCAATGGGGATGATAATAATAGTACTTACTGCTTGGAGTTTGTTTATTCACTCAGCAGATCTCTACTGAGTGAGCACCACCATGTATCAGACACAATTTTAACCACTGAAGGTTCAGAAGTGAACAAATCAGAAAACCCTGCCCTCCCGGGCCTATGAAACTGTATAGAACCTTAACTACTGGTAAGTGATAAAGAGAAAAATAAATCCAGGAAGAGA